CAGAATCATTTCTCACGGTCGACTTTGATTATCAGTTGATAACTATGCACTCTAGAATTTTTTCCTTATCTTATATATCCAGTGATAATGTTATCATAAGTCATTCTAACCGTGATAAAAAGATATGGTTTTTGATATGTAATAAATTAGAGGATATTCCTCGAGAATTATTGGAGATTCTAAAACAAGCTAGAAACTGTGAAATATCTTCAGCTTTAAGTTTAGCACTTTCGATCACAAATATAGCTCAATATTTTAATCTTATAATAAGTCTGTTCACCGAAGCAAAAGTTTATAAATTTTTATTATTCATAAGTAGCTGGTATTTATCGAAAAGAGAATAAAATTACATAATTTAGAAGGTCTATTTCGCAATAATGAAAATAATATTCCCTTGATTTAGCGTATTTATAAACTACTCTAAATAGATAAAAATATTAACTGAAATCGATTACTTTTTCTAGATACCACTAAATTTTAACAATACGACGAAAGTAAGAATTAATCCAAATTATTAGGCATATCTTCTAGTAAATTTACTTGTAAACAAGAGATAGTTTCTTAGGAAGGAATCATACTAATATATCTTGATTGGTGTGTAGAATTATTGTCCCATAGGAGATCGTAAATATTTCATTCTATAAATACACACTAAGTCCGAATCAGTCCATATTTATTACGCTTAAATAATAAGTTTTTTGATATTATCATCAAATAAATAAGCTCTATTTCCACAATAGGAATCCTAATGTAACGAGAAAATGTGATTTATTTCTATAATAATAAATCGGGAATGAGTAGGTACTTAAATTCAACTTCGCATAAATTGGAGGACCAAGATATATTGATGTTTGATAATACTAAATCATATATCTCATTCAGAAGAGCGCCACGATAAAACTGAATAATTATTAATAAACATATCATATTCTTTCACAATCCTTATTACATAATACGTTTTTACTACAACGCATTGAAATAAGTAATCATAGTATGCTTTTAGATGTTAACGATTTACCAAATCAGACGAGTAAAATAATGGAGGAATATAAGTAACGATTAGATCAATTGATGTATATGGTCAACGGGGAGATTAGTAGTTGTAGATACATTCTGTTGAAACAATATTAAATCTAAATCACCGATATTACAAATGCGACCTATTGGAAAAGATAAGGAAAAATAGATCAATAATTGATTCATAATCTACAATAACGGTAGATTAATATTTATTTCTGAGAAGGTGAAGAAATAAGACACAACGGGGTTATATAAATTTCAAAATTATTATAGAGTTAGCCACTATTTTTCACGACGGAAATTTATCGTATCATAGATTATATTTTTTCTTCCGGGAGAAACTTATTTTACAAAAGAATAATAGATTTTAAGTAGGTATTGCTCAGTGTAAAGAAAGATTAAAAATAAATTATATCGATGATATCAAATAATGTAGGCAAGGATAGGCCATTTTAAGTCACATAATGGATTATATTTCTTAATAAATATTCGTAAAAATATAATTTTTGAAAAGTAGTCATTATCCGGAGAATGCCAGCATAATGGTCCTTATCTTAGAAAAATTGAATTAATTACTATATAATCATAAATTATGGGTGTTAAACCTTGCACTTGCGATATGTGTAATTATAGTTTTGATGTAGGTAAGCTCCAATGGGAGGGAAAAGTATCGAGTGATTTTGTAACAACACATAGAAATTTATGGTCTTTACTTGCACTAACTAAAGGTATCACAAAATATAGTAATATACCGAAAGATAATGAATTATATATTATTGCTTCTAAAAACGAATTTCTTATTACAGATATTCTTGAAGAGTTATTGTCAATAATCGACAAAAAAACTATTAAGAATTTTAACGATATAAATTTCTCTTTAGTCGATATGGATTTATCTAAATTAGAAGAAAAAAGTATGAAAAAAAAATTCAAAACATTATATGATGATTTAGCCAAAATAATTAATGAGTTATACGATGTTAAGGAATATGAAAGAATTTTAAATAATAAAGATAATAAACGTATGCATTCGATGATTACTCATCATGATTCAGAATGGAAAGAATATTTTAAGAAAATTTAATTCTATCATGGAAATTTTTTGAAGTGAAGTGAACGTCTAAGCTTTAGCACGCAAATAAAAAATCATATAGATAAAAAATTTATCGGATATATCTATATTAGAGGTCGCTAATTGCTCTATGAGAGCAGGAATGGAGTCTATATTCCGATGATATATTCAATGAATAAGAATTCTCACATATCAAATGAAATTCCCCTTTCGGAAAATCTTTATTAAAGAGAATCCAAGATCGAGTCACTACTCTTGAGATTTTTCTTGAGAAAATCTTCATCAATGACAACAGAATTGTACATAGTTCCAATTTCTGGAATGGCACCTAAAAGTTGATGGGCAGCAATACCATATATATGATTTTGGGCCCCCTCAAGTGTGGCTTTTTTTACTACGCCAATTGGATCAGCATTAGCCATTTGTAGAAGAACATTATCATGTTCACGTGAGCTCAACCCCCCCTTTCCATACTAGTAACCTTCCCAGTACGTGTCATTTCATAAGCATATAAATAGAGATGGCGTAGATTGGGCGTATTATCCTCCATAAAGGCTTTAGTTTCAGTTACAATTTTTGTGCAAGCGGCCTCGACTCCAAAAAGTCTATAAGCTTCTCCCACAGAAGAAGAAATCATGGTGCTTGTATCAATGGCAGGATGAAACGAAATTTCATATAAATTTTTCCCAACAGTATTGATAACAAAAGTATCTTCTTCGACAAAAGAACCATCATCCTTAATTTTATGGCGCCTAACTTTTTCGGCATGGGCTCGCATAATTCCAGGTATTCCCCGAATTGATGAATCCAAAAACTCTTGCATAATACTAATAGTACCTTCTTCATTCATGCC